AGAGATATTTTAATAAAAATCATTTATTTTACACTTATTGTATTTTGAATCTAGCAACCGACTGCTACTCTAAAATCCCCTGTACAGTCCTGTACCAAGGCCAAAGGGATTGGTCATAATTGTTTAGTGGGAACAGTTAGAACCTAGGTAACGAAATACAAGATGGTTTTTAAACTGATTTATAATACATACAAAGGACTAGAAGAATGCAAGTAGTTGTCAAGGTCCAGGATTAATGGGAACTGAGGGAAGTAACCATAACAGCTTGCAGGTACCTGCCAAGAAAACTGTGTCTTTAAGCAAAAGGTAATTCCAGCAGAGGGAGATCGTGACCACTGACCCATGGACCACCTAGTCACATTATACCCCAGACCCATTTCTAGACATTTCTAACCTTTACTGCGCAGAATCAGAAATAGGAGGAGAATATGTTAATGATTTCTTGGAAGTTGTATGCTTATGTATGAATACTTAATGAATATGATTGAATAAGTTCTATATAAGGTGTATGATTCTAGTGCCCGGCACGTGTTGTTGGTGAGAGCACTCCCCTACACGTCCAGCCACCAATAAAGAAGTGTCTGCTTATCTAGATCATATTGGTGTCAATAAATTTTTATCTTGGTTTTTGGTGACAACTATCAAGGCACAGATCAATCTAGAGCTGCATCTAACACTGTGCATGAGAGAAGACATATCTTGTGTTCGCACAGTAAACAGCCAAATAGTTAACCTGGTAGAGTCAAGCAGTAATCACTCCAGTATCCACACTTCAGTTATTACATCACAGAAATCATACTAGATATGGGGGAAAAACAGAAAAAAAAAAACAAAAAAACAAAAAAACAAAAAAAAAACACAAAACACACTGAAAAGATGTTTCAATAAGCTATAGAAGCACAGACAATACTAAAAATTCATAAATATTTCATATAAACTAGACTGTGTTTACTTTGCACTTTGAGTACTTTAAAAAAATGTTTCAAAGAACAAAGAGATGACCTTTTGTCATCAGATGTGCTAATGCTATTAAATCAGTTCAACCTCCTTCATCCTGCTTCCTTCTCCCTATTTCCTTCAAAAAAAGCACAGCACAGTAACAGTTCCAAAACTAATTCCTAGTCTGCACTGATGACTATACTTTTCCTGGTTCCAATCACTGTTGTGGCATTTGCTTGGCTAGAGTAGTGTATGAACATATGTGGTCATAAAAACATGGAAAAATGTCCTCTCTGAGAAAAAAAATTGTACATTCTAATGTACTAAGGAATCCAACATTAAAGATAGCTGGTATTTCTGATATACTATTCAGAATAAGAAAGTTTCAACAGAAGGTTTTATCAGATACTCCATAAAAACCACAGTGTGGGAGTAGAGTAATTATTGTCATTTCACTGCTCTATCTACAATTGTCTCTTTATACTAATAATCAGCTTTATAACATTTGATCCCCTTTGCTTTTAATCCATCTAATTACAAAGTAGCAGTAGATATTTGCATCACAGTCTGGTTTGAGTACCCACTGCAGTTTCCTTTCAATTTTTTAATGTCTACGTTTTCCTAAAGACATAAGACTGAAAACTAAACACATATTTAAAGGCTACATCTTATTTGTCAATAGCAGTCATGTATTTAAAAAGCTCTTCTATGTGGAAAGACTCATCATAGTTTTTACACCAGCAGTGTGCAATACAAATTATCATGAACAGCATTATAGAAGCATATGTCATCTCTATATTTTGAATAATACATTATTGGGTCTGAGAGCAGGAACTAACATGCACCAGACAAACATAAGCCTTCTTGAAAATTTAGATGTTGACAAGCATTTTGAAATAAAACATTGCAGTAGTTCTACATTTACATGACCTTATTTCAAAGATCAAGTACCTTAATTTGGAGGCTGATTTTCAGTAGTTAGAGGGGTCAGAAAAGCTCATTTCTATTAGGTGATCGAAAAATTCTCTTTGAAGGAGCTTTTTTTTTGCTCTTAACTACATTGCCTCTTAAATACTATAGATATGTGTAGAAGTAGTCCTCTGACCAGACGTCCTGCCACACTTCGTGACTACAGATGCCAATGTGCCTCCTGTCCCTTGATATGGAGGCCAACTCAGTTCAGTGACAAACAGTATTATTCCTCATGACCTTTATTTTAGAGTTCAGGGATGATCCAATCCTATAAATTCATGTTTGGGTACAGTAAGAACTCTACTCGTTTTTGTCCAGGAATACTTTGGTTTATTACAAAATCCTCCCTCAGCTGTGACCTTGCAGAAAAGCCAGTTGTAGCAAGGTAAAATAGATTATGCCTTTCTTTGGTGTAGGCATTGGTCACCAGGATATGATTACAGCTGGATATCAGGTTCAGTTTAGCATCCAAAAAAAAAGGAACAGTGCTGTGACAAACTCTGAGGCCAGTACTCTTCCTATTCATGCAGACCTTACAAAATGAAATTCCTCTTTACGCCAGGTTTAACCCTAACTGGAACCAAAGACCCTATTATACATACTTACAACCAAATAAATTAAGAAAATATGTTTCTCTGAAACCATTCTCTCCTTCATACTTGCTACAATTCATCAGCAGATGCAGTTCTTCCATTCTGCTTTTCTGAACACTAACCACAAGAAGTATCATCATAGGCCTTAATGAAACACAATGACTTCATGATAATGAGGAGTCACTCAGGCTGGAGCTTTTGCTCATCAAATCATGCAGATCTTAACCAGATGCTGCAGTTATAAACAGCCCTCTGTTGCCACTTTCTCTGAATTCTAACTCTAAATGTATCTCCAAATTATTCTTAAACAAATTCTATTAGAACCCACAAAAAACAGTGACCAGCCAGTCATTTCTATAGGTAACAGCCTCCATCCCCTTTCTAGAGATGTCACAGTATCCTGGAATGAAACTTGAATTCAAACACTGCTGGGTTCAGAACGGAACCTAACACCATTTTCAGTCATAACCAGAGTCTAATAAAGCACATGAGCAGAAAACCCAATCACATGTTTGTCACTTCTGTCAGAAGAAAGTCCCATCCAAAAGATTCTAGAACAAGATGTCTCTCATGAGGAGGGCAGACAGCTGACCTTCAGCTGGAACAGCAGTGAGCCACTGAGCAGGACGCTAATGAGTTTCTGGTTACAGAGGGACCTGCGGGCTCTGGCCCATGGATTCTCATGATGGCACCATTATGATGGCACCATTGTCTCAGACAATGCAGTTTATTTAAATGCAGTTTATGACAATATAACCAATTGTTTGTGTTTGGGTTTTGGTGCAGACATTGCTAACTTGGCTATGGCCAAGGCTAAAACTGAGGATATTCTTAAGACCAAATTTTGTAAAAGGAATGACCAAATACCAGTTTATTGCTCAGTTCTGAATATGTACTTGGCTAAGATGGAAGCTAGCACAGGCAAGAGCAAATATGTTTGAGTTTAGAACATATATGCATATACTGGTTAAGATTCAGACAAGGTTTACTGTTGGGACTGGATTATTGTTTGATAAGAGCTGAAGGGTTTGGCTCATTGCAGGATCTTCAACAGACTACACTGCTGAACCCATAGTGGTATTAGTAGGTAGGGAATGATTTAAATTTAATTTTAGAAGATGCTTATTGGAAGTTATTAGAACCTAGGAAATATTCTAGGTGTAGTTAGGGTTACAAATTTTCAGAAAAATATGGGAAATTTTCTTTATTCCTTGACCTCTGAGGCCTAAAGGGAAGTCTAATGTTGTTAAGTACCAATTGCTAAAGAATTTAGTGTCAAGAAAGTCAGCACCTCTCTTTAGCTAAACTGCAATTATAACTGAGTCTTTAGAAAAGCAAAGTAGAATACCTCCAGTTAACAGATGTTTTTTGTGTAGTTTGCTAGAATGGAGAACGGAGGCTGATAAGGGGCAATGCTTTCTGTTAATTCTGATAGCTGTTGGTCACATGTTACAGATTGAAGTTGTAACTGGGATTAAAGATAAGGTTTCAGAAAAGGGGAATGAAGAATTTAGTTTACTGCATGAAAGCATATGATGGGGATAAAGAAATATCTTATGTTGATGCCTATACAGACATCAGCTACCTGACTGTAATTAGGCTGACCTTGAGGTAAGATTTGGGCAATCAATTTTGCATCAAAAATACATAAACACATTATAAATACAACTGAGAACAATATAACATATATAAAAATAGGGAAGTTATGAAAATGTAAAAACTATATTTGATATATGTCATTATAAAGATTTATTTTGAAATCCCTGGAAAATATCTGTTCAAAAGAAAAAAAAAAAGGCACAAAGATTATATTTCTACTAGCCCACCAGTTTAACCAAACCATCCCTGGGATAATTTAAATATATTCATTGATCTAGAGGCTATGGTAGACTTTTATTAGAGATGACCTAAAAAGTAGACATTTTTGCACTAATGTATCTTACCCAGTTTGAAACATACTCTAAAAAGAGGAACTGAAGTCTTGGCTTTGATCATGTTCCTTGTGGCTCAGACCTAGGAGTGGGAAGTGGCAGAAGAAAAAGCACTCTCCATTAGTGAAGCTTCACATCAGGTAAAACTGGCAATTTGGTAGCTGCTGCAATAGCCAAGAGGTTTTTTGGGAAAAAACCCAGATGTTGAAGTAGGCCTTTTACTCTGGAAAAAAGACTTACTTTAGGAGGATTTTGAGAGGTGAAATTTTGTGGTGGTTTCCTTACTTGTTTAACTGTGTCTCACAGGCACAAAAGATTCTAGAACAAGATGTGTCTCATGGGGAGGGCAGACAGCTGACCTTCAGCTGGAACAGCAGTGAGCCATCGAGCCATCGAGCAGGATGCTAATGAGTTTCTGGTTACAGAGGGACCTGTGGGCTCTGGCCCATGGCTTCTCATGATGGCACCATGTGTGTCGTAGGTGGCAAAAACGCCCAGCCAGACAGAAGGGAATTGCCAGTGCAGCACCTGTCATGAGGCACAGCCAAGCCCCAGGGAAGGGGTTCACCCAGACAGGGCAGGACACCTGGCAACAGGCTGCTGGGCATTAATTACTTTCTATGCTCACAGTCGCAGGAACAACGGATGTCCTGCAGGAGGCCAAGGTCCACCTCATCGACCTCAACCTCTGCAACAGCAGCCAGTGGTATGGAGGGGCCATCCACTCCCACAGCCTGTGCACTGGCTATCCGTAGGGTGTCATTATCACCTCCCAGACAGAAGCCTGCAACAAGGCAGCGCCCAGCAGCACAGGCAGCGCCCAGCACAGCCACCCAAACTCATCCCAGCACAGGTTTCGTCTGGTAAGTTGCCCTCCCACCTCTGGATGCCCACCGCTGGCAGGGCTCACCTTCCCTTCCGCAGGTCCAGGTCCTCGCCCAGGGCCCCGCATGCCCCAGAGGCCCAGGGGACTCTGACCAGAAAGCCCATCCAGTGCTCCTGGCAGCCCTGAGGTCCAGCTCTCAGTCCTGGAACTTCCCTCTTCCACAAAGCCAACATTGCTGTGTGGAGATGAGCATGAGCCCTACCACACATGCCTACGACCCCCTCCCAGACAAGGTCCTGTAGGCTCCAGCACCTGAGCAGAGCCTCTCTGTGCAGCAGATACAGCTCTGGCAGGTGCAGGCAGAGAGAAAGAGCCAGTCTTAGTGCTGCCAGCAGACACCTGACACCACCTTAATCCTCCCTCTCTCCTCTGCTGCAGGGTGACAGTGGTGGTCCTCTCGTCTGCAAAGACAACAATGCTGATTACTGCTGGCTTGTTGGGGTGACCAGCTGGGGGAGAGGCTGTGCAAGAGCAAAACAGCCCCGAGTCTACACCTCCACTCAGCACTTTTACGATAGGATTCTGGTACAGATGGGACTGACCAGCAGTAACAGCTACTCCAATGCCACAGCCAGTCTTCACCCCAACCCTGTTTCAGAGACCAAGGCCAATACCAACACAGGCGAGCAGGTTTACACCCTGTCCATTTCCACGACAGAAGCTGGTGGAATTCTTTACTAGGCTGCAAGAGCTCCTGCAGATCTTACAGGGAAAAAAGCAGCATCATGAGCAGGACCCAGTTCAAGCTGCAGCACACTACCACCATCTCCAGCAGGGGTACTGCCTGCTGATCCAAAGGCACCCTCACTTCAAAGGCCTGCTTGGTCCTGCTGGTGCAGACAAATGCTCAAGTTGAGCATTCATGTTCTTGAAATAAAGTTGCCAATTTTCACAGCTAACCATGCTGTAGTCTAACTCAGTCTCCTGTGCAAGGCAAAGACTTCCATGCTTGCCACTTGCAAAATGAGGCTGCAGGCAGCCAAGTCAGGCATAAAAGAAAAGAGTCACTCAGAAGAGCTGAAACTCAGACTGGTCAGAGAGGAGGGTGCTCAGAGCCACCATGGCACAGAGAAGACTAGCACATCAGGGCTAGAAAAAGGATAGGAAAAATCGATGTGACACGCAGGTGGCTTTGGGGCACGTGCGCACACACACACACTCCCTGGAGATACATGTGGAGTAGAAAGTGAAAGTGCAATGCACATCTGGCACATGCGCACACCCATACTCCAAGACACGTCTGGAACACAGAGTGCAACACGCGGTGTTCACACACACACACCAAGTGTGCACACACACATAAAACATACGCACACAGGCAGTGCACGCACACACACTGCAGCATGCATGCGTGCAGAATGCACCCACCCACATGCCCTGCATGCACTAACCCTGCATGCACACACCCCTGTGTCCACTTGAAAGCTCACAGCATTCACCCAGTGATGCGTGCACTCATAGAAAACACCTCCCACAGGGGCACACACAAACTCCTGCAAAGGAGATTTTGCAGACTACAGTTGAGCCTTTGGATCATCAAAATGGGGCCCTAGAGCATCAAAATGAGGCTTTGAAAGCCAAAGTTAGCACTTAGGAAAGGAAAGTAAGGCTTTGGACACTATCAGTGGAGCTTTGGATCCTAAATTGCTGCGCTCTGCCCAAGAAGTGAGGGTTTAAATACTAAAAATGAAAGTCCGGGCCATACAAAAAGGCTCTAGGTAGTAAAAGACAAGTTGGGACCCTAGAAATAAAGATCTGGATTCTAAAAATGAGGCTTTGGACCTTCAAAGCCAGACTTTGGGCTCTGAAAATGATGCTCTGGACCCCTGAAATGAGTCTTTGGCCTTTAAAATGTGTGGTTGGAAGATATAAATGAGGGTTTGTATCTGAAAAATTAGGGTTTGGGTTCTATGAGAAGGGTTTAGAGCACAAAAATGAGGGGTTTGGACACTCAAGATGTAGCTTGGACCCTCAGAATTTTAACTGTCTTTTGCTGACAAGAATCTGCATCTGTGTATCTCAAATGAAAGCTCTGCTGTGTATTCCTGGGAAAAAAAAAAACCTTTATAGTCCTTGTTAAATGCATCCGTTTTACCTTGTATAATTACTTTTTGCACTAGAAAGAAGAAAGTGCTGCAATGACACCATATTTCACTGAATACAGCACTCATATGGAAGAATATCTGGGTCTGAATCCTACTGAAATGTTTAAATATATGCAAGTTAATATATGCATTATTTAAAAAAAGAAAAAAAAAAAAAAACAAACCTCAGTGGGATGCATCAGTGAGAACTCTGTATAAAATGGACATGGGGTGAGTTTTCCTGAAGTAGCAGGAGGATTCACGCATTCCAACAATGTCTCCATACTGTACCCTCCAACTCATCAAGCCTTTTCTTTGCACTACTTTTCTTACAAGCTCCAAGTAAACTTTTTTTTCCCCAGTTGATCCAAAATGCTTATGCAGATTCGGCCCATCACTTCAAATCCTTTTAGTTATTCCCAACTAGCTTTTTGACAATCTATTATTTCAGAGCCAACCGACATCAAACTTTACCTTATTAATACCATTGCCTACCTTTTTTCAATGTTGGGTGCCCTCTTTTAGGAAAAGGGCAATGTCAATAGCAAGATGGCTTAGATCTAAACCCAGGCCCTCCCCTTCACCAACAAGGGCCCTCACACACAACTGGGACCAGGGCTGGTCAAGCACACCCTGGTGAAGGCTCTCCCAGTGTTATTTTAAAACGCTCCTTCAAAATGGCATTTTCCAGGTTGTTTCCTCAGACTGCTGTTATTCTGGTGGAAGAGGGCTCACTCTGTACCCAGACTGTCCTGGAACAGATCCTAGACAAAGCCCAGGCCCAAGCAAGAGCCCACAGCCACAGCTTGCCCACTGATCCTATGTGTCACACACAGGGGCTGAGTCCTGGCCCTCCTGCACCCCTGTACACTGAATTTCTTACTGACTAGCTGATGGAAGATGAGTAACAGAGCTGTCCCACTGACACTGGAAAAACACTAGCCCTGCCGGGGTCACTGCAGCCTTGTACTTTCTAGAGAAGTCAAATGTGCTAAAGGTTCACATCTTGAGGCTTTGGCTGGAAGACTGCAGAGACGGTCTTGCAAACATGAAATCAATCTTAAGAGGAAAAAGTGCCAACGATGAGTTAGAATGCTGCACTGTTTGCAAACAGCACATTAGTGGGGGACAGTTAGCCAAGTCTAAAAAGAGTGGTTAACATCTGTATTTAGAACTATGTGACTACAGATACATCTCCCAAGAGATTTATTTGCCAAAAATCTCAAGAAAATTGATAGACATTCCATATTTTATTTACAAAACCTTCATTGTATCCCCCCTTTCTTTTTAAGCTACAGACAGGAAGGGGTTTTTTAAGTTGAAAAAGATTACTATAAACTTACAATTTCCATTAAAAGAGAACTTAGAATTAATCATAGAATTAAGATGTAAATTCAACCACCTCAGCTACACTTCAGCAAAGGAGAGAGCATTTTCTCTATGCGATAAGCCCTTTTGATCCTGAGGCATCTGGTTCATAGTACAGCCTGAGGCAAGAGAGTTACTCTGTGAATGTCTGCACCAGACAAAGGCCACAAGAAGGTCACAGAATAAGTGACTTCATGAGAGTGATACCAAGTAGTGACTTGTTAGGTACTACAGCACGCAGGTCTCCATTCACTGTACAAGATGTGTTCAAGACAGAAGGTTTACTGCAGCTGACAAACCCAGGCAGAAGTCACGAGTACTTTTCATTTTCCAAATTGTCTCATGACCACTTCATTTTTGATTTGCAACAAATCATTTAGTCTGCTGACATGATTCACACAGCGAACTACACCATACCCATCCCTCTGTAGAAAGCCAGCTTGTCAGAGCTGGGAGGAGTTAGCAAGGACACTGCCTCTGCTCCCACCCCGCACAGTCCCTGTGAGAGAGATGCTGTTCAAGCAGGCTCCCCTGCTCCACATCACAGGTTTAAAAAGGGATGTCCTTGATGTTCCCATGCCTGCCAGGCTTCCTGGGGGCCTGTTTTCCTATAAGCTCCCATTTCCTGCAGCATCTTCTCCTGGGATGGCTGTGGTCAAGCTGTTTAATTACAGTTTCCTAAATATAATGGAAGGAACAAATAACCTTGTGAAATAGCATGGTCACAGGTCCCTGGAAAAGTTATCCTATTCCAAAATGAGAAAAAAAATTCTCACTTAAAGAACAAAAGTGAAATTCTTACCTCAATGCCAGGGACAGGGACAGCAAGGGGGATAGGGAGACCCTGGGAGGTTGAAGACCCTGGGGATCAGAATCCCAGAGAGGTGAGGGACATGGGGACAGCATGGGACCCCAGGAGGATGGGGACCTCAGGTGGACATGGGGATGCAGGGAGGACATGGGGACCCTGGGGACAACATGGAGATGCCAGGAGGATGAGGACAGCTGAGAGGGATATGGGCTCTGGCAGGGGACATGGCGATGGAGGGGGGGGTGTCCTGAGGTGTTCCTCAGTGTCCTCAACCAGGCTGACAGCTTCATTGGAGTCTTTTATTCTTGGGCGTGTGTGTTCAGGCTCCCCCTCAATTCTTCTTGGGCCTCGAGGACTGAGCCAGTGCCCACAGAGAGTGGTGGGTGACTGTGGGGATGGAGGGGGGGGGGCTCAGGGAACCCCTGACCCCCCACAAGCAACCCCAGCATCCCGTGGGATGCAGTGGAAGTGGGTGCAGCCCGGATGGTAGTGAGGAAGGGACAGGGGAGTTTGGGGAGCCTTGTGGAGGATCTTGGGGACAGACAACACATAAAAAAGGGGAGGGGCAGGATTTGGGGAGCACAAATTGGGGTTCAGGCCCCCGTCCCCCTGGGGTCCCCAGTTTCCCTGGAGGTCCTCCTGGCTCCCTGCTGGGGTTTCCCTGGGGTCCCCCTGGTTCTGCTTCATCCCCTCAGGGCCCCCCACCAAGTTTCTCCCCATGTCCCTTCATCTCCTCCCTGTGTGCCCCTGCTTCCCACAACCCCCCTGTGTCACCTCAGGGAAGGCACAGTCCCCCTCCTCAGCTCTCGGCCCCCCGCCCAGATGTGTGTCTTCCCCTGGCAGACACTGAGCTCACTGCCTCTGCAGCAATAAAGCTGGTTTGGCACTACCTGATGTTACGCTCTGCGGTCCCCTAGGTCTGAGCCCTCCACCGGGCCTGACACCCCACTAGGCCTGAGGACCCCCTCAAGGCTGTTTGACTCCCATTTCACACACACACACACACACACACACACCCCTGCAGGTACTGCAGCCAGGGGGCAGCGCCCAGGGCCCAAAGCAGATCCACAGCCACTGGTGAGGGGAGACAGGGGGGCAGCGTGTCCTGATGCTTTTCACCCCCTGGGGGTCCACTGTGGGGACATCTGTTCCCCCTGCTACCCCATGGTGTCTCCTTTGTGTCCCCCCCAGTGTTACTTGGTGTCACCCCCCTGTGCTGACCCCCTACGTCCCCCCCTCCAGTGTCTCTCCATGTCCTCCCTTGGTGTCCACTCCCCCTCGGTTGTCCCCCCATGTTGTCCCCCCATGACCCCCCTCCACATCTGTGAGGCATCTCTGTGTCCCCTCACTGTGCCCCCATGTCCGCCTTCTGTGTGTTCACCCCTCGAATTCAAGCCATGTCTTGAACAGCTTTAAAGAAGGAGAAATATGAAGTTGCTTCTGATCTTCCTAACAGCAAAGCAAATCGGGAACCTGCCCATAAGAGATTAGAGTTACTTCAGTGGAAAACTACCACTAAGCCAATTCCTAAAATGGGAAATAGTAGCTAATTACACACTGTTGATGGGAAATAGGGTCATCTCAGACACCTGC